CCTTTACCACCTGTTTGTTAACATATCATGGCTTTAGTAACTTATAACGAAGTGTAAAACGTTAACCTTTACCACCTGTTTGTTAACATATCATGGCTTTAGTAACTTATAACGAAGTGTAAAACGTTAACCTTTACCACCTGTTTGTTAACATATCATGGCTTTAGTAACTTATAACGAAGTGTAAAACGTTAACCTTTACCACCTGTTTGTTAACATATCATGGCTTTAGTAACTTATAACGAAGTGTAAAACGTTAACCTTTACAACCTGTTTGTTAACATATCATGGCTTTAGTAACTTATAACGAAGTGTAAAACGTTAACCTTTACAACCTGTTTGTTAACATATCATGGCTTTAGTAACTTATAACGAAGTGTAAAACGTTAACCTTTACCACCTGTTTGTTAACATATCATGGCTTTAGTAACTTGTAACGAAGTGTAAAACGTTAACCTTTACAACCTGTTTAACATATCATGACTATAGTAACCTATAACGAAGTGTGAAACGTTAACATTTACAACCTGTTTGTTAACATATCATGGCTTTAGTAACTTATAACGAAGTGTAAAGCGTTAACCTTTACAACCTGTTTAACATATCATGACTATAGTAACCTATAACGAAGTGTGAAACGTTAACCTTTACAACCTGTTTAACATATCATGACTATAGTAACTTGTAACGAAGTGTAAAACGTTAACCTTTACCACATGTTTGTTAACACATCATGGCTTTAGTAACTTAGTTACGAAGTGTAAAACGTTAACTATTACAACCTGAACATATCATGACTATAATAACTTATAACGAAGTGTAAAACGTTAACCTTTACCACCTGTTTGTTAACATATCATGGCTTTAGTAACTTGTAACGAAGTTTAAAACGTTAACCTTTACCACCTGTTTGTTAACATATCATGACTATAATAACTTATAACGAAGTGTAAAACGTTAACCTTTACAACCTGTTTGTTAACATATCATGGCTTTAGTAACTTGTTACGAAGTGTAAAACGTTAACTATTACAACCTGTTTGTTAACATATCATGGCTTTAGTAACTTATAACGAAGTGTAAAACGTTAACCTTTACCACCTGTTTGTTAACATATCATGGCTTTAGTAACTTATAACGAAGTGTAAAACGTTAACCATTACATCCTGTTTGTTAACATATCATGGCTTTAGTAACTTATAACGAAGTGTAAAACGTTAACCTTTACAACCTGTTTAACATATCATGGCTTTAGTAACTTGTAACGAAGTGTAAAACGTTAACCTTTACCACATGTTTGTTAACACATCATGGCTTTAGTAACTTGTAACGAAGTGTAAAACGTTAACCTTTACATCCTGTTTGTTAACATATCATGGCTTTAGTAACTTATAACGAAGTGTAAAACGTTAACCTTTACATCCTGTTTAACATATCATGACTATAGTAACCTATAACGAAGTGTGAAACGTTATCCTTTACCACCTGTTTGTTAACATATCATGGCTTTAGTAACTTATAACGAAGTGTAAAACGTTAACCTTTACATCCTGTTTAACATATCATGACTATAGTAACCTATAACGAAGTGTGAAACGTTAACCTTTACCACCTGTTTGTTAACATATCATGACTTTAGTAACTTGTAACGAAGTGTAAAACGTTAACCTTTACCACCTGTTTGTTAACATATCATGGCTTTAGTAACTTGTAACGAAGTGTAAAACGTTAACCTTTACAACCTGTTTGTTAACATATCATGGCTTTAGTAACTTATAACGAAGTGTAAAATGTTAACCTTTACAACCTGTTTGTTAACATATCATTGCTTTAGTAACTTGTAACGAAGTGTAAAACGTTAACCTTTACCACCTATTTGTTAACATATCATGACTATAATAACTTATAACGAAGTGTAAAACGTTAACCTTTACAACCTGTTTGTTAACATATCATGGCTTTAGTAACTTATAACGAAGTGTAAAACGTTAACCTTTACATCCTGTTTCTTAACATATCATGACTTCCGTACTTTATCACCAAGTGTAACACCTTAACCATTACATCCTGTTTAACATATCATGACTATAGTAACCTATAACGAAGTGTAAAACGTTAACCTTTACAACCTGTTTGTTAACATATCATGGCTTTAGTAACTTATAACGAAGTGTAAAACGTTAACCTTTACAACCTGTTTAACATATCATGACTATAGTAACCTATAACGAAGTGTGAAACGTTAACCTTTACAACCTGTTTGTTAACATATCATGGCTTTAGTAACTTATAACGAAGTGTAAAACGTTAACCTTTACAACCTGTTTAACATATCATGACTATAGTAACCTATAACGAAGTGTGAAACGTTAACCTTTACAACCTGTTTGTTAACATATCATGGCTTTAGTAACTTGTAACAAAGTGTAAAACGTTAACCTTTACAACCTGTTTAACATATCATGACTATAGTAACTTGTAACGAAGTGTAAAACGTTAATCTTTACCACATGTTTGTTAACACATCATGGCTTTAGTAACTTATAACGAAGTGTAAAACGTTAACCTTTACAACCTGTTTGTTAACATATCATGGCTTTAGTAACTTGTAACGAAGTGTAAAACGTTAACCTTTACCACCTGTTTGTTAACATATCATGACTATAATAACTTATAACGAAGTGTAAAATGTTAACCTTTACAACCTGTTTGTTAACATATCATGGCTTTAGTAACTTGTAACGAAGTGTAAAACGTTAACCTTTACAACCTGTTTGTTAACATATCATGGCTTTAGTAACTTGTAACGAAGTGTAAAACGTTAACCTT